ACAGTCGTGTTGCATACGAAAGAGTACTAAGTGACGCATAGACTTTGTCCCATACCACTTGGAACCGAGATGATTGTGATGTGGGACGCGGTAACCTTTCTGACATTCGTTGTTTTGATAAACATTTTTGGAGGAATTGGACAAGGAGAGTGATGAACGGGCACAAGATTTTGAACCTGAGGTTATATTGGATCACTAAGAATTACCCCGTTTATATTGTGGAACACAGGATAAGACGATGATAAATAACCATGGTCCTAAATTGCCAGAAATATACCCAAACCTAAATCTCTCCATCTCTTATGTCCAAACTGGCAGTGATAGATTACTGAGTAAAATAATTTGTAACGACAATAACGTGGTAGATTAGGTACTTCTATCATTCATTTACTTTTATTTACTGTAACCGACCGGAATTTAAAACGTTTTAATTGTCTTTAATCTACTCAGGCGTACATATTCAGTGCAATTCTATCTCCCGACAGTAAATCAGAAACCCGTTGGTTTTCAGGATACAAATGTCACATTTATTAAGCAAACTCAGCAGAATTCTGAAGACAATTTACCTAAACCTCACATTCGGAAAAACAAAATTGATTGAATAAACTCGTGCTGAAGATGGTAACTGAATTCAAATTTACAACTTTAAACAGCAAAGCCAGTGAAAATGCGCACGAATTGAACGAGGACGTTATCACACCAGTTTTGTATCAGCCTTAGTTCTGTGATAAACGGGACATTATCCGAAGGTCTTATATTTGAAAAAAACAAACTTCCGTAGAGCTACACTAAGGAAACGAATTTACAAAAAATGAAAGGCGTTTTAATCAACAGCAAACATTTTCGATAAACTGTAATCATTATCAACTTATCGTACAAGAAATGTATCCATACATATGCCCACAAACACAAGAATAATTTTCGAAAATAACTCAGAAGTGAAGATAAGGAGTGTCCAAGAATTATGAAATGTTTGTAAATCTAACGACAGACAAAAATATCCAATAAAGGGCAGATATGAAGCAGTTTATTCAAACTTCACTTCTCAATAACGATGATGAAGAATTGGACTATGATGTCACTTATTGAAAGATGCCATGTTTTTGTTACTTTTAACAGAGGAAGTCAGAGGAAGTCAGAAGAACTATCAAACTGCGGAAAGTTTATAAATCACAGGGTATAGATCTTTTCCATCCAAAACGGTATAGAAATCTTTATTAAACGAATTTGTGGGGAAAAGGATGATGTACCAAACTCTTATCGCCCAGGTACTGATTTAAGTGTTGCATAATGGCCAATACATTAGCAGAATTTCACGATATAAAGCTTCTTATATCGCCATCTCACGCAGGATATGAAAAAGGCCTTTAAACTGTTGATTACATATATCTTTTGCAAATGACAGTTCACATCTCGTAAAAATGCCAAAGGAAAATGTTACGCTGCTGTGAAAGCACTTCCCAATGCGTCTGAAAACGTTTATAGAGCCACAACACGGATACACTGTTTAGAAGCTGATGCCTGTGAAGATCCGGGTTAGAATTCTTCAGCAACCCGTTCCTGACTTGGTTGACTCATGTCACCGTATCTCAGTTGTGTAGATCGATGCCTATGGTGATGATCACTGGATTGTCTGATCCAGACTTGATTATTTACAAATCGCCGCCACATAACTGGAATAATGCTGGAGTTGCGTTAAACAACAAACAATTTTAAGTTGCTTTTAAGCCTCCACTTCCATTATGTATTCGAAGATAAGCATAAGATTAAAGAGATGGCCATATACTCTATCCAGTCACCTTCGGTCATTGTTCATATATAATGTAACAATCCTTGTGTGATTGTTCACATACCACCGATTGAACAAGATTCACATTTCCCATGTAAGGACCGAGAAAAAAGGACACTTAGTCATTCATACCCAGCGCAAAGCCCAGAAAAGTCTGGCTTCCAATCCCATTTAACCACGTTCATCAAATAATAATGCAATCACAGCACGTGTATATATTTTACAAACGGCATACATTTGGCAAGACGGATTATGTTTAAAATTACACCCCTGAAGTGCATCATTCTAATTAAAACATCAAAGAGTCAATATAATAATGACGTTCCCTTTATGAGAATTAAATGAAACCGATATATATGTTGTGTCGACTATCTGAAGTCAGTCAGTCAGTCTTTCCAGGCGGCTTCTTTACAGGAGGCCAGTTTGTCCTGTGCGGTATCTTCATAACCTACATTATCTTTGTCAACACTGACAAACCTTTTACTTAACCAAGCCGACCTACTTACTCCACTATGCAATACTCAGAGAAATACCAGAAAGGATGGTACCCCACGCTGTTCTTACCGTAATGAATTCTCAGCGTCATTAGAATCTCTTGTGGTTATATAAATATAGTGTTTACTGCCCTTTCATAATCCTATATGAAGCCCATATTTAGTTCTGCGCGTGATGGATGATGTACTTTCCTTACAATATTGACCATGTACTTTCAATATCCTTAAAAAGTCTGTTGAAGATTTCCTGCAAAAGTATCTCAGCCGGAGTGTTGATTATTGTGTTGGTGGTGCTGAGCGTCTTAGCAGGATTAGACAAAGCAGGTGCGCGTCCTTCATGAGGCGCAGTAGCGTGTCGCTGTTCGATTACCTTGCATCAAGAAGTGGTATTAGAAGGCTTCATGAAACATCTTCAAGGCCTGTCATTGTGTCAATGCCGACCCACCTAATATCTCGCTGCTGGGATTGTTTTTCGCCCATCAATCTGGACCAGTGTGGTAACACTGTGGATGCGACAGGCAGATTTACCCGACAATGCTAGTTCATCTCTTTCCGCACGTCTTCCTGAAGAAAAATGACTTCTACTGTGTCAATTTGTCGATTTTAATTTGGAATTATGCTGTACTCAACTCTGACTGAGTTATAAATCACAAATAGCTCAATTTACCACCTTAAACTAGATCAGCCTCAGAAGACATTTTTTTCTGGATCTTCTTATAGAGACGTTCACGAGTAAGATTAGACTCAAGACATATTGCTTCGATTCCTTCAAAGAAATTGTGTGTGTGTTTGCTTGCCAAAATGACAAACGCTATGTAGTGCCATCTGAGTATTAGTTAATGTAGACAGAGGGATCAGTGTTTGCAGTGTCTTGTCCTCGGCACAGAATATGGGTTACCCAGCTGAGCGAGTCCAGGTGGAAGGGCCCAGCTGCAGAAGATCAGCTGTTCCTATGCACTCTCTCAACTATTCACAGAGTATTCTATTTCAGGCAAAGAAAGAAATGAACATTTTTTCCAGGATTGGAACAACTTCCGTATTCCCTATATCACTGATCGAAGTGGGTTGGTGTATGTTTATTCACCTTACCCCTTTGAGGTTAGTGGGTCAACGTTTGATATTACTCTGGCCGGTGTTTAACGTTGGTGCGCCATCCTGATCACACTCCCTCTTCTCGTTCAAGTACAAAATAGTCGATATATGATCGAAGACTGATCGCTAATCGTAGTTAAAAATACTTGGGAGAGAGATAGCATAGTTGTTATGATATTGGCTTGTGGGTATTTTCACACTGTGTGAAGTCCGTTCTTTATATCTTGTTACATGGCTGATGTCATGCATTCAGTATATGGCCGTGATATGCTCAATGTATGTCAAAGAAACAGAGACACACCCTTGGGGTCCATGTTTTGTTTTGCTTAACATCGAGAACCAAAACAGAAAACAGCATACATTCCCTCTGCTGCTTGGCTTCAACAGCTGGCTTTTAACCGTGTCATATACCTGTTTGCATTATGTGAGGTATTTAACGAAACACGTGACTCAAAACTAGACGCAAAGCGCGACGGGACGCTAACCGCAACGCTGGACGTAACGCACGACTCAAGACTAGACACAACACTAGACGCAACGCGCGGCTCAACACCAGACGCAAAGCGCGACGCAACGTTAGCCTCAACGCTGGACGTAACGCGCGACTCAAGATTAAACACAACACTAGACGCAACACTAGACGCAAAGCGCAACGCAACGCTAGCTTCAACGCTGGACGGAACGTGCGACTCAGCACAATACGCAACACTAGCCGCAACGCCAGCAACAACGCGCCACTCAACACTGGACACAACAGAAGATGCAACGCTTGGCTTAACACAAGACGCAACTCGCGCCTAGACACAACGCTGGTTGCAACTGGTCACTCAACACTAGACACAAAGCTGGTTGCAACGCGCGACGCAACACTAGACACAACGCTGGTCACAACGCGTGACTCAACACTAGACACAACGCTGGTCGCAACCCGCGACTCAACACTAGACACACGCTGGTCGCAGCCCGCGACTCAACACTAGAGACAACGCTGGTCGCAACCTGCGACTCAACACTAGAGACAACGCTGGTCGCAACCCGCGACTAAACATTAGAGATAACGCTGGTCGCAGCTGGCGACTAAACACTAGACACAACGCTGGTCGCAACCTGCGACTCAACACTAGAGACAACGCTGGTCACAATGCGTGACTCAACACTAGACGCAACACTAGACGCAAAAGCGCGACGCAACGCTAGCCTCAACGCTGGACGTAAAGATTAAGACATAACATTAAACGCTCAAGATTAGACATAACATTAGACGCAACGTGCGGCTCATCACTAGACGCAACACCAGACACAACACTAGACGCAAAGCGCGACTCAACACTAGACGCAACACTAGGCGCAAAGCGCGACGCAAGACTAGGCGCAAAGCGCGACGCAACGCTAGCCTAAACGCTGGACGTAACGCGCGACTCAAGATTAGACACAACACTAGACACAACACTAGACACAACACTAGACGCAACACTAGACGCAAACCGCGACGCAACGCTAGCCTCAAAAACGCTGGACGTAACGCCCGACTCGACGCAACACTAGACGCAACGTGCGGCTCAACACTAGACGAAACACTAGACGCAACACTAGACGCAAAGCGCGACTCAACACTACACGCAACGATGGTTGCAACGCGCGACTCAATACATGACGCAACACTAGACACAACGCTGGTCACAACGCGAGACCCAACACTACACGCAACACTAGCCGCAATGCCAGCAACAACGCGCCACTCAATACTAGACACAACAGATGATGCAACGCTCGGCTTAACACAAGACGAAACACGTGACTCAACACTAGACTCAACATTATTCGCAACTGGCCACTCAACACAAGACACAACGCCAGCAACACGCCACCCAAAACTAGACACAACGCTGGTTGCAAAGCGCGACTCAACACTAGATGCAGCACTAGCCACAACGCCAGCAGCAATGCGCCACTCAAAACTAGACACAACGCTGGTCGCAATGTGTGACTCAACACTAGACACAACGCTGGTCGCAACGAACGACTTAACTCTAGGCACAACGCTGGTCATAATGCGCCACTCAACACTGGACACAACAGAAGATGCAACGCTCGACTTAACACTAGGCGCAATGCTGGACGCAAAACGTGGCTCAACACTAGACGCAACACTGTCCGCAGCGCTCGGCTTAACACAAGGCGCAACGTGCGGCTCAACACTAGACACAACGCTGGTTGCAATGCGCGACTCAACACAAGACACAACGCTCGTCGCAAATGGCGACTCAACACTAGACGCAACACTAGACACGCTGGTTGCAATGCTGGACGCAAAGCGTGGCTCAACGCTACACGCAACACTATCCGCAACGCTCGGCGTAACAGAAGGCGCAACGCTCGACTCAACACTAGACATAACGCTGGACGCAATGCTGGATGCAAAGCGTGGCTCAACACTAGACGCAACACTAGCCGCAGCGCTCGGCTTAACACAAGGCGCAACGCGCGACTCAACACTAGACACAACGCTGGTTGCCATTCGCGGCTCAATACTAGACACAAAGCTGGTCGCAACTGGCGACTCAACACTAGACGCAACACTAGACATAACGCTGGACGCAATTCTGGACGCAAACGGTGGCTCAACGCTACACGCAACACTAGCCGCAACGCTCGGCTTAACAGAAGGCGCAACGCGCGACTCAACACTAGACACAAAGCTGGTTGCAACTGGCGACGAAACACTAGACGCAACACTAAACACAACCCTGGACGCAATGCGCCAGTCAACACTAAACACAACAGAAGATGCAACACTAGACGCAACACTAGACACAACGCTGGACGCAATGCTGGACGCAAAGCGTGGCTCAACACTAGACGCAACACTAGCCGCAACGGTCGGCTTAACACAAGGCGCAACGCGCGACTCAACACTAGACACAACGTTGGTTGCAATGCGCGACTCAACACTAGACACAACGCTGGTCGCAACAAGCGACTCAACACTAGACACAACGCTGGTCGCAACCCGCGACTCAACACTAGACGCAACACTGGTCGCAACTGGCGACTCAACACTAGACACAACGCTGATCGCAACGCGCGACTCAACACTAGACACAACGCTGATCGCAACGCGCTACTCAACACTAGAAACAACGCTGGACGCAACGCGTGACTCAACACTAGCCGCAACACTAGATGCAACGAGAGGCTCAAGACTAGAGTCAATTCTAGACGCAATGCACGACTCCACACTAGAGAACCTGATCTGTGTAGTAATGCAGTATCATGACAAACTCACTCTTGGGATAACTCTGACGGAATAAACAGTGTAATGCAATTAAAACTCGTGACTCAAACACTGCGATATCTTTCACAATGTTACCTCAGATGTCTAAAGCAAATTGTAATAAGTAGAATTTGTGATTTTTCGTGTTTTCCGAGCCAGATCTGACAGTCTCGAGAGTATAGATTATGTCAAAGCACTCAGATAGTGCAGGCGAACTTGATCTATGGGGCAAGAACAACTGATTGAGACATAATGACTTAGTGTCTCTTCTATCATATCCCAGACATTGTATTATTCGGGTTGTTGTTGTTGCTTTTGGCCTTGGCTAATATTTATATGTAATTAGTGTCTATGTGCATACATAATTAGTGTCACCTGTGAAAATAGGGACGATGACGTAGCACAGTGGTTAAAGCGAGGACCCGGATTCGATTCCCCACATGGGTACAATGTGTTAAGCCCATTTCTGGTGTCACCCGCCGTGATATTACTGGAATATTGCTAAAACGGCGTAAAAATAAACCCACTCACTCACCTGTGACAATAATGCACGTAAGACAATGTTTTCCAATTAAAACCCTTTCATAAATTCAATTCGACCAGTGTACCCTCAAAATGGGGGATCACATTTCATGCTGCTTGTCAAATGTCAGACCATAAAATTCACATTAACACCCGGAAAATATCGTTGCTAGTGAGTTTATTGGCAAAATCATCATTAATGATTTCAACGTATACTCGCGAATCACGAAGGAATACTGTCAAGTTATTAAACTGTGTATGCGATTGACCTCAATAAGCGAACGACGTAAATATGCTCAGCAGAGTGAATAGAAAGCCCATTGTATGATTCTGTGAATCAAATTAAACAGGTTACTATGTGATTCAGAAATATTTGTTTCTCAAGAGAAGAATTCATGCCAGTATTTCCAATGTTGAATCCATGTTAACAACGGTGCAGATCGTATGAAGATCATTAATAATAAATCAAGATCTGATCAGGTTCAGAACCTGTCAGAACATATCGGGTGCAGATGAGTCTACTGTCAACAGTTGGATTGGACGGTTGTAAAGTCAGAACATATCGGGTGCAGATGAGTCTACTGTCAACAGTTGGATTGGACGGTTGTAAAGTCAGAAGATATCGGGTGCAGATGAGTCTACTGTCAACAGTTGGATTGGACGGTTGTAAAGTCAGAACATATCGGGTGCAGATGAGTCTACTGTCAACAGTTGGATTGGACAGTCATGGGTGCAGTGAGTCTACTGTCAACAGTTGGATTGGACGGTTGTAAAGTCAGAACATATCGGGTGCAGATGGGTCTACTGTACAACAGTTGATTGACGGTTGTAAAGTCAGAGATGAGTCTACTGTCAACAGTTGGATTGGACGGTTGTAAAGTCAGAACATATCGGGTGCAGATGAGTCTACTGTCAACAGTTGGATTGGACGGTTGTAAAGTCAGAACATATCGGGTGCAGATGAGTCTACTGTCAACAGTTGGATTGGACGGTTGTAAAGTCAGAACATATCGGGTGCAGATGAGTCTACTGTCAACAGTTGGATTGGACGGCTGTAAGATGAGTCAGAAGAACAGTATCGGGTAAAGTCAGATGGTGCAGATGAGTCTACTGTCAACAGTTGGATTGGACGGTTGTAAAGTCAGAACATATCGGGTGCAGATGAGTCTACTGTCAACAGTTGGATTGGACGGTTGTAAAGTCAGAACATATCGGGTGCAGATGAGTCTATTGTCAACAGTTGGATTGGACGGTTGTAAAGTCAGAACATATCGGGTGCAGATGAGTCTACTGTCAACAGTTGGATTGGACGGTTGTAAAGTCAGAACATATCGGGTGCAGATGAGTCTACTGTCAACAGTTGGATTGGACGGTTGTAAAGTCAGAACATATCGGGCGCAGATGAATCTACTGTCAACAGTTGGATTGGACAGTTGTAAAGTCAGAACATACCGGGTGCAGATGATTCTATTGTCAACAGTTGGATTGGACGGTTTGGCTGTCAGACATATCGGATGCAGATGAGTCTATTGTCAACAGTTGGATTGGACGGTTGGGCTGTCAGAACACATCAGGTGCAGATGATACCATTGTCAACAGTTGGATTGGACAGTTGTACCTGTCTGAACACATCGGGTGCAGATACAGACAGACAGACAGACAGATTATTTATTTGAGTCTGACCTCACTTGTAAAATACAGGACATATATAGGCTATAATAAAGAATAAAAGTGAGCCACCCGTTTAGCGTTATGAGAGACTATTGTATACTTTTAAGAACATAAATATACACCATGAGTAAGTGAGTGAGTTAAAATTTAAAGTCACATTGGCATTATTTCAGCCATATCGTGGCTAAAACTGGTTTTTAGCTTCATACATGTTTTGCAACAGTTGGTTTGGAAGGTTGTGCTGTCAGAACAAATTAGGTGCAGCTTAATTGGTATGGTTGAATACTCTCTGTTGCACTGGCCGAGTCAAATTAGCAAGATATATTTTTAAGTCTGATATCGTAAATTAATTATCTTATCCGAGTTCAAGCACAAAGTAGGTCTGACTCAGTACGCACCCTGAAATAGCCAAAGACACAAGCAGTTACGCTAAAATATATATTATTTGTCAGAACTGATCCCAAACAATCCGTTACAGCGCATACAGGTGACGCCACGCAATTGCCGACTGCATTCAACCATTTTAAACGATAGAGCCAAACAGCGCGTAATATTTCTTCACACAACCCGAAAATGAAGCTCAAAAGAATCATGTTTCCTTACGCACTTAAGGCAATATTACACCAATCAAGCTCATCCATTTACAGATAACGAATGGCGATCTTCAATCAACTTCAGAGATGCCTGAAATGTACAGTAATGCATTGCAGATGTTGTGTTTCTTTTGAAAACATAGTTCTGCCGGCGAACGTTGACTCATGCAATAATTTAATTTACTAAAAACATCAGTTAGTATTTTAACCCTAATTAGGCTGCCTCGATGCCTCGATTGTCCTTAATAATCCAGTGCACTGTATCTCTATTCTGTTATGATCAATATCCTAGGCCCATTTGCCATAACAGATGTTGGAAGGAGGGGAGGGGAAGGGAGTGGTAGGAGGGTCGGCGTGTGGAGGGCATGTTGGGGGCGGAGGGGAGGGGAGATTGGTGCCTGTTGCTTAGTCACTTTAATCACTCCATTCTTTTTATTGGACCTGGCCTTGAAAGGAAAGACTGACCCCTTTGTTCGCGAGACCGGCCTACATCTACATTTAAAATTGAGCCATTAGTTTTATATAGCGAATCAAAAAATGAATTATTCTGAGTAGTAGTGAGTGAATGAGTACGCCGCACTCAGCAATATTCCAGCTATGTGGCGGCGGTCTGCAAAGAATCGAGTCTGGACCAGACAATCCAGTGATCAACAGCACGAGCATCGATCTACGTAATTGGGATACGATGAACATAAAGATACGATGACATGTGTCAACACAGTCAGCGAGCCTGACCACCCGATTCCGTTAGTCCATCTTTTACGATAAACATGGGTTACTGATCAATTCCAACCCGGATCTTCATTAGTCTCTGAGTAGTAAGACACTAGAGAGGAGCCCTTATGCCACAAAACGATGTGTTTTCTGTACACACTGAACAGGACGATTTCAAGTGATACCCCTTTCTTGTTTAAATGGAGGTCTATTTTTAATGTCGTGTCATTAAACCCTTCGTCAAATCAAAGATATCGTGAAGCTTATCATGTCATGAATCATCGCTCATGACATCAACCACTGGGCGAGAATCGTGATCTTTCAGGTCGCAGTGACACAGGTTCCATATTAATGGCAGAAACCAATGTTCACTGCTCTCATAATTCACCAGGAAGCTAAACAGTGACATGCAACGTCCTTTCACCAAGATCTATTCAGGCAAGTTAGACTGTGCTAAGGAAATGCTTGCCACCGTTGATTTCAATGAAACCGTGATTCTGCCCGAGTCATGCAATTATAACTGACTTGACAGACCAGAGACAGTGATTTGTTCCTCTACAGCAATATTAACACACAGTTTATCTTGTCTTCATAACATACTCGGAAGTGGGAAGTCACAAAGAATATCAAGAAAGCGATTTATTTAAATGTCGACTGAGTCCTCCGAGGTTTGTGTCATTTAAGAACAGTTTCGCTTGAAATTACTTTCCCAGGTTTAACGAATCGTCTTCCGTAACTCGGACGAGCTTCGCTTTCCACGATGATGAAATATTGATGGTAGAAGCATATCCATTAAATCAGCTGCGGCAGCCATAATTGGAAATTATTCGATCAGCAAAGCCCGTGACCGTCAAAATTCAATATTGCTGCCAAACGGATCAATGTTGTTGTCATAAAAGTTGAAAAGCAATCGCGAGTGTGTGAAAAGTAAATAATCTTCAATAAAGGTTTCGACATTGTATTAAAGCACTTCCGATAAGTTCCCATCAGGCCGTGAGTTTCATTGATGCAAGGAGACCTTACACGCACAAGGGTTTGACACATAAAGCACGTGTTCTTGAGGCCACCCCTCGGGGAAATCCTGACGCCAGTGCTGGAGTTTTCAAACCATGCTATACTGCGTGGCGGCAGCAAATACCGATATTTCGATATGCACAGCCGAGCTTCCGACAAGTTCTTTGTGAGTAAATTACATTTACATGTTGTGAGAAAAAATGCTTGTTAGTTATGAAATGGTGAATCGAACTTTTGCAGAATAAATGATTTGTTTTCTCAGCGGGAAATGTCGAGTGTTTGAGCTACAAGATCCAACTCTTCATCACGCTATGGTGTCAGGACGCCACGATTCGTTTCTCTGTTGGCACATATATAGCACAAAAATCTAAATATCCAAACGCACGTTGGATACAAATAAATCATGCCTTCTCATGACTAAGTATTGGTTAATGCACATGCATCCCCGGGGAATCGTTTCGATGGGTGGGGATGAAAGGAGTGAGACTTGCCTGTTGTCCCCTTTTGCATTATGCAGTGTGAA